AAAGCTTTGTGGCATAGTGCTGTCAACTAGAATTCTGGAGGGCCAAATATCAATAGCTCGAAGACGTTTCTGAAGGAAGTCAAGCCAAGTTATCCATATGCAACTCACTTGAGCAGTAGAAATTTGGAATCTAACAGCTAAGTCTCTCTCTAGGAGACCACATCGCAATTTACACAAAACCATAAAGAGTTCTTCTTCTGGAGGAAGCGACCTTTTTCGTYCACGCTTTTCATCATGCTCTGAGAGATTTCCATTATTTGAACCAATATATCTCAATTTTTCACATGCTGGGGAAAGATAGTTATACAAATGTTTGAAGTCAGAGTAATTCTGAAATCCAGTATAAAATGCTATATCCTTGTCCGATTCTTTGAACTGTTCGATGGAAAACTTTGAACGAAATAACTGTAATTTGAGGTCTTGAATTTCCTTATTATGCTGTAATTTTAGCTCATTAATTTCATTTTTAAAATTATTTATTTGCTGTAAAAGATCATCCATACTCGGCTCAGAGACAGTAGGTGGTGCTGGTGGTTGTGTTGGTATATTTTCTTGGTTGGATTCACTGAGTGGATTGCGTTGTCTGCACTTGAATGTGGTTCTTGGAGTATTTTGTTTAACTTGCAATAGCTTCGGTGTTACAGTAGGGATGTTGTTCAAGTATGTTTTTTGTCCTCCAGGAAAATGAGTAGAACAAACTCGGTGACTTTCGTTTGGTTTAAACCTTCCTCCTATCCAGTGGACCCATGCTGACCTGAGTTTTCTTTCTTTTGGAAACTTGTGAAAGGATAAATCTTGATTTCGTTTGGTGTTGTTGGTGCAAAATGGCACGCAACAAGTAGTTCCCCCTCCTCGGTTTTTCGTCTTTCTTACCGAAAAAGATTCCATTTAGATATTTTTACATCTACGTAAGTCTTTTTTTTGATTTTTTGAATTTTGTTTTATATTTTTTTGTTTTTTTTTACGACATTTTGACAAGAGTAATGGCGACACTCCGATGTTGTTTACACCAGGTCCGCCATCTTGGAAATGTTACCACAACTACCATAATTCCCTGCGCGCATCGATTATAGCTGGAACGGGCCATTGATTTCGTGCGTCAACTGCAGGACGTAAAGTACGAATAGTCGATAACAAGCTTTAGCAAACATTTAACTCCATAAACCCCATGTATATTGGCTTCCCACTTAACCAAAAATGCCAAAATAAACCAAGAAATGAAGTAGCTCTTCATTTTGAATCTAATTTAAACTATATATGTGAAATTATTGTAAACATACGTTCGTGCACTAAACATCGAATGGATCGAATGCAGATGTGTTCAAAACGCATGGTCCGTAAAAGACAAACAGTCATCTTGTACTTGTGTGATATTGGGATCACATAAGTCAAYAGTAGTTCTTTATGCATAGATTTGTTATACACAAAAAATCACTGCTTTTATCACGGACAGAAGAAATGAGTTGCCCCATCATAGGAAGAATTAGCGGAGTCAAATATGCTAACAATGAACAAGCTTATAAGCGTAGAGTTTCGTTTGCTCAAGGGTCTTTCATCCTGATATCCAAGATTAAAATCTTCCGTGATTAATAAATAAACATAGTTTAGTATTCTAGCTTACCTTTCCCTCAAAAGAATCGTAGTTTATTAACGAGTACAAATCCGCTTTCAAACTGTTCAAAGGCCTCTACACTAAAGCGTACATTTTGAATTTCCTTGTCGACGCGTGTGTACGTGTGTGATCAATGTCACATCGAATSACAGAAGTTGCCCTTCGACAAGACTTTCCCCCTTGATTCCCACTCGTTGTGACGGCTTACTACGCTGATTTGGCAACTCTTCCTTTCAGATTACGCMTAAATTTCCGCTTCTTTTCATCACCAAATCCTCTAAAAAGCTTCCCGCCATCTACTCCATTGTTCTTTGTGAACCCTCATGAATATTAACAAGCTAGCCCCAGGCCTTCGAAAATGCAAAAAAAGCAAAAAAGCAAAACAAAACAAAACAAAACAAAGCAAAAAAACAAAAAACAAAAAAAAAAACAACACAAAAACAAAAAACAAAACAAACAAACAAAACAAAACAAAAAACATATTTTAAATGAATATTTTTTTTATACTTACACCGTAACATGCTAAAAGCAGTAATGGACGATCCATACCATTTTCAAGCAATAAAACAGAATTGTTTTCCATTCAAGCAATTCATTGCAAAGCTAAATTCAGCTAGGAATYCAATAATGTCAACAGATTATTTCTTGTTAAACAGTCTGGATGAATTATGCCATTCAAGTACGATACTAAAGGACAAATAAGAGGGATCGGAAATGGCATGAAAAGTATGTGAAATGAATTATACGCCCGCAATCAAAACTTTGGTCAGCAGTCGTACCATGCAGCGCCTTGCTTCGGATAAAATGGCGGATCTCGATTCAAAAACAAGKATATTTAGCTGATTTCCTGGCTAGAGTRCAGTCCTAAAGCTTTGTAATGTGACTGCCTAATCCCTTGCTGTCCTTGAGTATTGTATTCAGTAACACTTTAAATTCGGATGCCGCGATTTTTACGTAAATCCCCAGGTAAGCCCTTTAGTTCCCTGTTGATGAATTTGAAAAAATGCTTCATAGTAAAATCACTCCCTTGGCTATTCTGAATCATTGTTTTTAACTATATACTCTGGCTTGACTTCAATATTAGATTCATTTCACCTAAATTAGCTTATTCTACAGAGTTGTTAATAGAATTTTTGGAATTTAATTCATCGCAAACGATACTGAAATATATTTTAACACTCGAGTTCGAGTTGGTTCAAACACAGCTTGCCGGATAATAACGATTCAGAAATCTCTATCAGCGAAATAATTCTCCAATTTGGTTGCTATGTGTCTTAATTAATTCATTATTTCGATTACATCAGTTATAAAATCAATATAAATTATTATTATGATTTTGTACATTAACGTAATTTGTGTACACTCTGATAGTTTAACTACACGGTAAATAAGCTTAAATCCTTAAATAAAATTTCTTGTCTATATTATTTTGCATTCTAATAAGATATTAGATGTTTTTAATGTTTACTTAATGTATCTTTGTGTTAGCAAAAGAAAGTAAGAAAGATAAGAAAACTGAAAAAAAGAAAAAGACGAAAGAAAATTCAAAAGACAAAACAYCTTGGAAATCGCAGCCTGGAACATTATATGATGAAGAAGAAGAAGAAGAAAACTTCATGCAAAATGGATTTATTGGAGGTTAGGTTTCCTGTGACTATGACTTATAACATCTTTGTTTACTTACACACTGTAGCATTGTTTACAAAAAAAAGTTGCAATTTGCAAGAAGTTTTTGCTCATATTTACACAATCACTCACAGAAAAGATGGTAAGGCAAATTATTAATACTTAATTAATTTATAATAAATGACTCGTTATTAAAGAGCACATATCTTAATGTAATATTGATAGTATTGATTTGACAGGTTTTTTTCTAATGAGCTGTTTTTTTTATTGTTTTTCAGTTGGACGGTGT